ACAAATCTGTGCGTACGAACGGTTTTTGCATGAGGCCCAATGTTCTTGTGCACACCATGCACATGCACCTAAGACACAATCATAATGTTAGGATAATTTCTTTATCTATTTTTTGTTCTTTAAATGATGAATTTAGAAGAAATGCTGTCAAGTATTTAGTGTATSCAACTGACAAAATAGTGTGAGCAGAAATTCTACTCTAGGTACACAAACAGAAAAGATCTCTTGCTGATGTGAAGATACTAAAAGAGTAAAAGCAGCTTGTGGCCTTAAACAAATCAAACTGAGAAGGGAAAGCCACCTCAGTGCTTAGTAAGGCTGGCCTCAGTCCATACTTGCCTTAAACTGAATAAGTTTTCCTGAGTGAAACTTCAGTGATTTAGATCAATGTTAGAACTGAACCTCTTTCAGAGTATCCTTGATCTGATATGAAGTCAGAGACTAGCAGCAGACATTCCTTAAAAAAATACTTGCATAAAAGCACATTTATCAAGTGTCTGGCATAACATTCCTTAAATAATACCACATAGAGACAGATCACTCATCGTTTCAATGAAGTCATAAAATTTTGTGACTTCCTAAAAGAATGAGTAAGCGACATCAGAAAAAGAAAAAAGTTTCAYAAGAAAAGTGAAGTATAAACTGGTTTTACAACAACTATTTCAGAAAAAAAAGACTTGTACTCTTTAAAACTAAAGTAGGAAAGAAATAAAACATGAACATAACGCAGAATGGTATCTGGTATCTGGTAATGGTTTGTCTGAATCAGCTCTTTTTATCTCCTTCCTTCTTCTCAAGATTCAAACATTGCAAGCATGTTTTTTTTTTTTTTTGAGTTCTCTCAATGAGTTCCAGACCTGCATGGACATAAAATCCATTCCCCCACCCATTCCAGGCTTGGTGGGGGAGATGTGGGTGGAGCCCATGGGTTAGCCCTTCTTTTTTTCTTTCCTCATAATGGCATACTTTCAGAAGGATTTCAAGAGACAGTCAACAAAGTTAGTCAACTGCACCGAAAGTCCAAACAAGTTCCAGTGTCTCTTACTTTGTAGGAAAGCTACTGCACAGTTCAGACAGAATTTTATGTGACCAAACTTTGTGGATTATGGGGAAAAAAACACACAAAAAAACTTTTGGGTAAGTTCAGTGCACAAACAATTTAGATTTAAGAAATSAATTATTACTTTGTTCACAGCTTCAATAAAATTTTGTTACAGTTCTCCTAGCTCATCCCACTTTATTTAGCCATTTCTCTGTTTACTCAAAGGTTTCTGACTGAGTAATCAAAGGGAGCTGAAACTTAGAAAAGGACACTGAAAGAGTCATGGGAAATACAAGATATGCAATCACTGAGAAACTATGTATCTAATATACAGTGATAAGTAACTGCAAGTCTTATTAAAGAGGGAGCTGTGGGTGTCGATCCATTCTAACAGATAAAAAACATACAAAGCTGAGTTAAAAATAGAGTCAAGTTAWTCTTCCTGTGTTTATTTATGACAGCATAGAGATATTATCTATGTCTGTGCATGTGTGTTTAATTATTACCTGGTAAAAATGGTATGATTCGGCGCTTGGGGTCTTTCTGACCTCCCTCCACTGGGAATTTGTCCAGCAATTCCATCTGAAAGCAAACAATTATTTAAAAATTACATACAGTGCCAGTTTATTAAATAAATATACATACACACACACACACACACACACACACACACACACACACACA